TATTGCGTTCTCATGTCAATTTCTGGTGATTTCGAATTTTTTACTCATTTTTACAAGTATTATTTGTTTTAGTTTTCCCAATAACGAAAATATAGTCGTCCACTTGGGGTTTACACTTGGCTTACTAGTTGTAACAATATTTTCTCCAACCGCACCGGCTGTGTATGTGCCTAAAAAGTTAAGGCTAGCTTCAGAAACACGACTTGTCTCAAGTTAAATGTTCTCTTATATTCTTCTTCCTTTTTTATGTAGGTGGCTCCTACAGAAAAACGAGATAGAGCTGAGTTTGCCAAACTTTTAGTTCAACTACTATATGAGTATAATGTATGAATATACTAAACACATTTATGATACATTTCGTTAAACAATAATATACGTGAAAAAATTTACTCAGTTCTGATTGGTTAAGATAGATGAAGTTTTCAGGTAAATCACTGGAGAAGAGAGTTAATTCACTGAAGAAAAGGGTTAATTCAGTGCAAAGAAAGTAACAAACTAGACATTCTGATCGGTCAGAACAAGAGCCATAATTATGGCTCTTGGTCAGAATGATTGGTCAATGTCAAGGTCAATGTCACTTGCAGGGTTTGAATAAACTATTTTTGCACCTGATGCGCGCGCTTTTTTTCGGCATAATTATGATAAGCTACCTCGTATTTTTTCATTTATATCATTAATACATTTTAACATGATTTTTCTCGTGTACTTTGGAGTAATAAAAAAGAACTTGTAAGTTTTTTCAAAGATCACAAATTGCATTCGCCTTACGGGCTCATGCAATTTTGTTAGTCTTTGAAAAAATTTACTCTTCTCATTTATTCCAAATTGCACTCGAAATCATGTGATTACATATACAAATAACTCTTTGAAATATCATTTTCCCAAGAGAACTTTGTATCATATTTTACGCAGACAAGTCATTATTTAGTGACTCGATTTATATTTGATTTAATTGTAAAAGTTTAAAATTATTAATGACCGTTTTTCCTCGAATACACGTACACGCTCAGATAAACGCCTCCCTCGAATTAGCCCCTACCTTTTAGGCCATAATGTCAAACAAGCGCTCCTCTAGAATAAGCGCCCCCCCCCCCATTTCTCCCGCACGTTCGTAAATA